CCCTATGTCACAGCGCGTGCGCGTTCAAAAAAGTTGAAATTACCCAACTTTCTTATGCGCGCCCGGAAGGCGCAAGGAATCAGCGCGACGTCACGAAATACGCAATTTCCGGGAATCGCGCGATCTACACGCGCACAAAAACACGTCGGTTGGGATCGCGCTCCCGTTTCCGGCTTGAGCGGCATTGCAATCGGCGTAGCAGCGCGTTGCATTATGGGACGTTTCCCATAATGACGTCACGAGAGAAGGAAGGGAGGAGGAGGAGGGGCATACCCTCCTTTCCGTACTTTCCCCCCTCCTCCTCCTCAAGAGTTGCGCTCCAAATCGGCAATACAGGGAGTTGTAAACGTCTCATTTTTTAGAGCGCAGCTCTTAGGCGGCCGTTTCCGGCTTGAGCGGCGTCGGCGTAACCGCGGGGTGCATTATGGGACATTTCTTATCATGACGTCACACGTGGCGTCACGAGGGTCACCAGTGACGTCACCGTGCGTTGCATTATGAGTAAATTTCCTCGCGAAACTTAGCGGAAAATATTCCCCGCTAGATTTAGCGGATAGAAATCACACGCTAAATTTAGCGAAAAAAAATTCCCCGCTAAATTTAGTGGAAAAATTCTCCGCTATATTTAGCGAAAAACTTTCCCCGCAAAATTTAGCGGGAAATGTTTCCCGCTAAATTCAGCAAGAAAAATTCCCTAAATTTAGCGGAAAAAATTCCCCGCTAAATTTGAAGGCAAATTTTCTCCGCTAAATTTAGCGGGAAAATTTTCCCGCTAAATTTAGTGGGAAATTTCGCGAAAATTTTCCGCTAAAAGGGAAACGAGCAGGAGAGGAGGAGGGGATGGTACGGATAAAGAGGAGTACCTCACTCTACTCCTCCTCAAGAATAGAGGGGATTGCAAACGCCTTTCATTTTTTTCTCTTTTCTTTCCCAGTTGTCTTAGTAGCTTCTCCCTTTTGGGGTTTTCTTTAGCCCAAGCGTCGCCCGGGCCTGGCTCGCGACCCTTGCATGCATCTTTTCACTTTTTCCCCATCTACATTTGTGCCTCCTGCGTCGATACACAAATTGCGCAAGACGCAACACTCAAGAATGAACTGTATGGCCTTGTTGACGCCCCAGAATTCAAGGTATAAAAGCTGTCTAAAGCCTCCCTTCAGTAGCCCAAAGGCATTTTCTATTCGGACACGCGTCCGGCTCAGCTTTAGGTTGTAATTCACCTCGTCGGGAGTGAGTTAGCCGTAGTTCCTAAATAGGTTTAGGGGGTACTCCCTTAGGGGGTACGCTGCATCTCCTACTACACGATACTTGTCACCCTCACAGATTTGGGGCAGGTCATTGAAGACAAAGGACCGCCTGAACGCCTGTGCGTCAGGTGTTCTCCCCGTGTGTCCAAGAAACGACATCAGGGAACTTGCGATCAGAATCACAAATTGCTTGCATGCTACAGGACTTCTCCTATCTGTTCGTATACGTGGATGGAATTCTATGTGCGGGGCCTCTGGTGTCCATATAGGTAATATAGGTGCCATCCACACAGCCCAAAACATGAGTGAAGCCTGAGATCTGAAATTAATTTGTGATCAGTATTTTTGCATTACTCCTTTCGTAAGTGACATGCTCCACTAAAGCTCTGCTTAAAAACGAAATCTTGTAAAATAGGAGAGTAAGGGAGAAAAAAAAAGTTAAAAAGTAAAAATTCAAAAACAAAATGTTTCTGGAAGATGATCGAGTGAAATGAGAACAGGTGCAAAATTCTAACGTTACCTTTTCGAATTTCGCACTAGCTGCAACCTTAGCTTGTGCAGAGATTGGAAAATGAATGACGTCGGTACTAATGCTTTCTAAAAAAGCTTGCCACCAGCTCGACGATGTCATGAGTATTTTTTGTAATTCCAAATATCACTGCGACGGCTCGCTCGCTTATTTAGTTTCCGACAAACCTGAAAAAAAAAATCGCCTGTCATATTTAAAGCTTAGATTGATAGCTATCTTCCGACCTAACGTACTCACCAAAGGAAGGAAAGCACATGTTCCTCAGCGGTCTTCCGGGGGTAGGGACCATGGCCACGAGGCTAAACTCTGATTTCTCATAGTCAGCTATCACTTCGTAGCACACGTTCCGGGCTATCTAAAAATGCTTTCAAAACTGGAAAAAAAATTACCCATTATAGTGTAGAAGGGTGTGTACTTGGGCTAGTTGGTTATTCATGATTATTATCATATCATTATTCATTATTTAGCGCTCTGTGGTGTTCGTCATTCTTCAACTTGTCCGTCGTTTTTTAGCGCTTTTACCTCCTACC